CACTCATTTAATATTTATTATGTACATTTAATTATTATTTTATTTTTTAATATTTCTAGAATTTGGAATTACGAATTATAAAAGACAAAAGTGGAAATTATACAAATTATGCAAAGTTATGTAAAGATATTATCTTAAATAAAATACATTTTATTTATTATGAATCACGTACGTGAAACGAATTAATCCTTTGTCTTAATTTATTTATCATGCTTTAGTAAAAATAATATGTATTTACATAATTATCGTAGCTCTAATTCTTAATTATTCAGAATCCGTATTATTCGTATTCAGATCTCATATTATATACTTATAAATAGTATCTGAGTATAGATCTTAAACAACAGTGTTTTAAAATTGTAGCTGATAATGATAGTTGAGTAGGGGTACAAATTTGACTCGTGAAAAAACAGAGTGTAAAAAAATAATAAAGTAACAAACTATATATAAAATAATAGCATTTATCGATTTGATACACATATTTTTTTTTCTGTCGAAAAACAATTTAGCGTTTATATTTTTACTGTACTTAAACAATATTCAAAAAGAAATTATTTAAGCGCAAGGCTAAATGGGTTGCCTTAAAAAATAAATAAACGAAAAGTTAAATGTAATAAATTAACAATAAAATGATAACAATATGTTTGCTGTAGGTATAAATTTTTTCATATAATTTTTTCAACTGGTCCAAACCTGATTTGACACTACAAAAATAAAAGCATGAGAAAGATAATTCCATAAATCCTTTTTGTGAGCTCGCCAGTTTTCTGCCATACCACGCGGAAATAACCTCAAAAAAACTAAAAACACATACACAAGCTTTGCGCAAAAGCCAAAGCACCCTAGATGGGAACAGCGAGAAACACAATATATTATAATACCTAAATTACWGGCAAGTTAATAAATATAACATGATAAAAGTCGAGGCAACGATGACGACGACTTAAAGGTCGTGTCAAAGGTCACACGAATGTGGCCATAGTCACGTGTTTGGTATCTCACCGACTTTGGGTCCCGCCCCGTCTTTGGGATGATTGCTCTTGATGGCGTTCATACGCCGGTTGACGGCCGGTACACCCGTCGTGTTGACTGGAGCTCCGGCCACGTTCGGCGGCAGACCACCGACGCCGGCGCACGGTCCGTGACCACCACCACCGACACCGATGCCGCCCATGCCGCAACCAGGCTGGTTTATCTGTTGCTGGGTCGGTGGGCCTTGGCCAGGTAGYCGGGGACCGCGGGGCTGTTCAACGGGCAGTACCCGTCGCCGTTTCTTTGGCAACTTGGCCCGGGCTTGCGTGTGTGAGTAATACATGGCAAAGTTGGACACGATRACGGGAACGGGCAAGGCGATGGTGAGCACACCGGCCAGTGCACACAGTGCCCCGACGAACATACCTACGTAAGTCTTCGGGGCCATGTCACCGTAACCGACAGTGGTCATCGTAACCAGGGCCCACCACAGGCCAAGCGGTATGCTGTTGAAGTCGTTGTGTGGATTGGCCTGGATGCGCTCCGCGTAGTACACCAARCTGGCGAATATCACGATACCTAGCACCAGGAAGAACACCAGTAGTGTCAGCTCCTTGGCAGATGCCCGGAACGTCTGCATCAGTATCTTCAACCCCGACGAGTGTCGGGTGAGCTTGAACAGTCGCATGATCCGAATGATGGAGAAGAACTCAAGTATGTCAGCGTTTTCCAGGTGTGATGCGAACTTCTGCAGTATCAGGTCGATGTAGAACGATAACGTGGCGATGTAGTCGATGATGTTTACTGATGCTTTGACAAACTCACACTTGTTCGGCGATGCGATGAATCGCACTAGGATCTCGAACGTAAACCAAGCGTTGCACAAGCATTCGACGTAGAAGAATGCCTCGTGCGCATTCGTCTGGGTCTTGTCCAGCACCCAGGCGGTCGTGTTGTGAGATGTGTTCACCGTGATGTTCTTGATGATCGGCACCCGCATATTGGGGTGCGTTTTCAGGCAAAACGATAGGATTGACACGCATATGAAGAACACGGACACGATGCCGATGATCTGCAATACAATCAAACAACGACAATAATTAGAAATTACTCAGCGTCAATATACTAAATTACATATGACGTTTTTTTWAAAGTATCTATTGTATTAAAGTAATTGATGGTAGTACATTAGTTATTGAATATTTTTTGAATCGGTACTAATAAACGTTTAATACGCAAAGTATAGGTTTTGAAACTAGATGTACCTMCATCGTACATATTTTTTTTTTATTTGAGAATAAATCATTTTTTCACAACGATAGATACTTTTATATTCTAATGATATAATATAATATACATTAATGTTTACAACTAATTGATTTAATGAAAAAAAAACTTATGGTTAATGGTATTTAAATATAAAATTATAAACTAATATTAGGACGACAAGATCAAAATAACAATATAATACAAATAAGGTTATAATAAACAGTAAACACTAACAACAAAACCAATAAAACTATTTCGTTATTTTTAGTAAACTTCGAACCCAAACCAAATATCTAATTAAAAATAGTGAAATCAATTATTGGCTTGAAATAACTTTAAGTTTAAACTTTAAAGTGGACTTACCTAAAATAAAATTATTAAAAAGACTGAAACGCAACAACTAAATAAATAAATTAAACGATGAAACTAACAAATACGTTCCGCAACAAGAATCAGTGAAACATTWAGACTACTTCCGAGAAAAAATTTAGAACAATTTAAATTATACCATAAAGTTCAGAAGAAAAATCTTAAAAATAAAAATAAAGTTCAGTTAAAAAGAAATTCAAAAATTCAATTTGYRGAAGAAATAAAAATCAAATGTTATACACCCAAACCATCCACAAAACCAAAATCTTTGTTCTAGATGGAATACTATAATAATTTATTCATTATATCTTTTATCTAATGCTGACATTTTTAAAGCCATAATTTTAATGCATATCCAACGAAGAAAAAAGAGTAGAGCACAATATACCAATGGACCTTTATGAAAAATTGGCCCTATGATAGTAACACAAATCTTAGGATAACTGGAACTAGCGATATAAATTTAATATTAATAGTTTTTTTTTTTTCAGTTTTAAGACAAAGTTTATCCAATAACTATTTATTATTTAATCTCACTTGAATAACCTAAGTAAAACATAATAAAAAAAGCTAATGACCTCAGCGGTTCAAGATCAATTTAGTTTATTAGGTTAGCTACAAGACCAATAACAATAAAAAAATTGCTTATAATCATACCAGATAGCTTATTTAAATTTGTTCATACAACTTTTTAATGTAAATAAATATACCTTTTGTAGGCTTTGTAAATATGGTGTTTTTCAATATCTTATTGAATAAATACATTTATATACATTATATAATATATTAGTTGAAATGTAGCAATTCGTAAATGTATWTAATAATACAATACTATAACAAATATGTGTAGTAGGTATCCGCATAATATTTGATACATATATTTTGTACTACGTATAATATTGGTTTTTTGTCATAAGTATGATACTGAAAGTAAACATAATAATTTCAGTAGAGCATATTCTTAATACCTTTCGTATCATCATCTTTGTTTTATATTTTTATTGAACGTCCTCCAAAATAGTGAATATACCCTTATTAGTTATGATTCTTCACTATTATATAGCTGTATTATTCCTATATGTATTCAGCTATAATGGCTTACTATTATAGACAAACTCATCCACTACTCGATAAATGCAATATTAAATATTAATTATATATATTGTAATATTGTATTAATAAACTAATAAATAATATTACGTAGGTAATTTTTATTTATTTTGTTGAAACTTATCTATATTTTTTGCATCCACCGGTTTGGAAACTAAATAATACACCGTCAGCTGGTTCGATAACGTGAATTGAATATTGAATATTGTTCAGTAGATCTGTTAATATTCTTGTGTTATAATTTATAGGACTTTAAAAAGTTATTCCAAGCATGACATTCGAATTAAAAACGAATGAATAACATACTGCATCGTGGATAATGTAATCGCATATTAATATCGTTGTTATCGATGGATAACAAGAGTCTATACAGAACAACACTTTCTATCAAAATATTCTTTCTAGATCCAGGCTGAACGTGATCCATTCGATTACATCGCCATTGTGTCTGCTTTTTGGTACTTATATTATAAATCGTCTGTGAGACGCTGCAGTTATTGTATATGGCTTTGGGTGGATTGACGTCGCGCGTCGGTYACAATAGTTCTCGATAATCAAAAACCCATGTATATAAATAGACATAAGTTATCTACGCGATCCGTAAGTTTGTCAAGGTGCAGTAAAGCGTGGATGACAACGGAGGCACACTTCGTCAGCGAATACCAAAATGGTATTGTATAGTAAAAAATATTCTTCGAGTAAAAGTTTTACGCACAAACCACACAAGCGATATTTAGTAAAATACGATACCATCGAGATTAAAAAGTATGAAAGTGGTTATCGAACAGTGAATAACTTGTTTCTCGTTATAATATACATGATAATCTGAATTCCAATCTATATACCTATTACCATATTGTGTGTTATATTAGGTATCCAATATTATGTTCGATGTTGAGCGAGAGAATTCCATCACTATACAATGGTACAGTTCGTAATTAATAAAAAAAATATAAAAWTTTTCCAAATTGATTAGAATAGAAAAATAGTTTGCACATTATACATTTATAATACTAAATAGTACCTATCATTAAGTGGAGCGTTACAACTTTAAATTTCCATGTATTTCGAAAAGTAAAATCTAGCCATCGATTCATAACAATAATATTATAAATAGGGCTATACGTATTAATAATTATTTTCGACAGAATATATAGTGACAGAATTATATAATATTACCTAACATAAGCCCTTAGGAAAAATACATCTTTCGCTGATACCACAATTAATAAAAGATAAGATATTAAAACCGACACTATAGTAACGTAGTGATAGGTAAGCACCTATACTTGTCAACAGCAAGATTTTGTAAAAGTTGAAATACCAGTGTTTAACTAGCTGTTGCGACCATAGGGTACGTTAAATTCAATATTATAATCATATAACATCATA